ACAAAAGTTTTACCGTCTTCACACGCTCATTCATGCTGCTCCCTCACTCATACAGACCAGTGCTCTCTCACCCACACAGATCACTCAGCAGTTGAACTGATCAGGGATCAGATAAACGCTACAACAGCTCAGTGCACCTTCTGTATGAGTGTATGAGTTGAAGTCGCTGAAGCCGCTGTTTCCTTCCACTTTAAATGAGACGGGAAGATTGATGTCTAATTTCACCGTAATTGCTGAGAAGCTGCCTTTTCACAAGGAGAACATGCTCTTCCATAGAGCGCTGACCGACACTGTTGGAGGAGTAAAGTGACGGGCGCGTTTACATCTTCTCAAAATATGGCTAAATGCATCTCTCATCTCCTCTCAAGGTGGTTGGAGCGATCAGATTTCAGGCCATCTTGAATACTTCTTGGAATTTAAAGCCTTTTTTTTTGTATCTGATCTGTGCAACACGCATACAGTGATCACATTTAAAAAGGGGGTTGTGGAAATAGACGACCAATGCTGCTGTTATGTGAGAACTGATCACAATACACTGACGACAGTTGGAAACTGAAACTCATCTTTTAAAATATGAAAAAAAAAGAAAAACAAAGACAACCAAACTGATATTTAACACAGCAGAATATGAGGTACACAGTTCTTGAACTCACAGTAAGGTACTGACTCTTAATAATTAATAATTAATGACTGATAATGATAATTCACAATCCTGACTCTTGAGGATAATGATGCACATCCCACTGTGACACAAGAGGAATAAAATATTTCGAAAACGAACATCAAATCCTTGAGCCATTTAACTGTCTTTTCTGTTGAAGTAATTTGCAGTGATTGCCCCGACAAAAATAAACTTTAATCTTTAAATTACCCTAATTTATGGCAAGCAGTAACTCTGTTAGTCCAGGTCAGTGCTTTGGTGTCCAGACAAACATAAACACCCAAACACAAACGGTCCACCGAGCACGTAACCCCCCGCCATCCCCCAGTTCCTCTCCGCATCCAGGCACACACCATTCAGCTTCCTGGCGCTAGCAGGGTGGAGTGGCCTAATCACACATCCAAATCTCTTATCGGAGCCCAGAGGGGCCAAATCACAACTTCCTCAGAGACAAAGTCATTTGGAAAGGGAAGAGGCCACTGCCTGCTGTGGTCATGCTCAAACCCAGGAGCCCAGTAAGATACAATCACTTACGTAAACGCTTGAGCTGAGCAGAGAGGCCCCTGAATGTGGCAGTTGAGATCAGTGACCAAAAATGCAGGCGGAGTATAAAGTTGATTGTTGTTTCTGACAGGTGCAGAGTGTTTTGTTTCTCGCTGGAGTTGTAATTCATGTGGTAATTAGGTCAGATACAAATTAGGGTTGTTCTCATGCCTGTGGGTCATTGACTTTCTTCTTATGTGTTGATTTCACCCCGTCCACGTCCAACTGAAATGATTTGTTGTCGTCCAAAGACGTAGTTCCATATTCACACTGTGCCAGATTTCCTTCCTCTTACCCCCTTTTTTATGGGGGTTTTGTTTTTCTAATCAATCGTTCATTACATACCTGGCTGCTCTGATGTCATTTGGTCGGTTTCTACACAATACATTTACATGAAAAATATGGAATAATGCACAAGAGCCATAATTTAAGAGGATAATACACAATTGAGTTGAAGATTTTCACAACATTAAATGTGCAACCAAGTCCACTGTTTTCCTGTATCAAGACAAAAGGGCATTCTCACCATTTAATTCATTTGTAGCACTATTGGTTTTCTGTCATGTTCAACCTTGAAGTTTTAATGACTTAGCTAGAGTGAGCACTGGCTAGGCAAGCTGGCTAACAGTGGCAAGCTAGCACTAAGTTATTAGCTAAGTTATTAGCTGTGCTCTCTCATTGAATTTACTTTTTTCTAATGTTTTCCACATACATTTTACATTGAATTTGCGTTGATAACACAAGGGAATATGTGAGGAAGAATAAGTTGGTAGCTGTAGCTAAAATGTTTGCTAACGTTGTTGTTTAGCAGCGTAGCTAGCCTGTCTTCATTAGCTTGTGTCTCATTCTCTTATTACGATTATTTTTTTCTAGTACTTTCTTGTTCCTAAAACCTGCCGCAGAAATATAAAAAAACTGTTTAAAAAATTGTCTCTGACAAATGTACTAGCTATCTACAACTTTACACTACAGATCGCAGCAGTGTTAGCAATTTGACTTAGCATGTTGCTAAGCTAGCAAAGTCAGAAATATCCTTTGACTTCTGGGGTGAATCAGTGTCAATGGAAAAAAAAGTGCTGATCTGAGTTGAGTTGACACTTCATATACAGAAAAGTGGCTCCAGATATTTCATCTTTCTCCTCTCAGCTCCTCAGTATGCAGGTTGATCTTTGGGTGATAACAGGGGGAAGGCTTGGTTGGTAAACACGAACATGATGTGTGCAGTTTACTGATCGTGGCCGCTGGGATTTCTGCGTTTTAATGTCTACATTTTTCATTTGTCTTGCTCCTTTTTGGAGTTGCAAAGAGGCCAAGTGCAGCTTTAACATCCAAACACCTTATAACGTGAGAAATCAAAGAAAATCTACTTTCTCTTTTTGTCCAGGTTTGACTGACTCCTCTGGTTTGCACTCCTTTAACACAGTCATATGCCTACAGCACAACTGTAATCCATTTTTTTCCACAACTGCCCTGGAGTGATTTGAGTCTGAATGCTTTACTCAAGGACCCTGAGATAATTCTATTATTAATAATGATTCTGTTTCCTCACTACAGTTTTCCCTGCAGGCTTTAAGGACTTTAACCTCAACCACTTCCAACAGAAGCCTCTTCTCTGAGCTCTGAGCCACTGTTGCCTTAAAGCAGGATATTAGGCCTATTTAAAGTGGAAAACTGGCTTAAATGACTGGAGCTTTTTAACTCGTGACCCTCAAGGTTGCGAAATGGGAGGTTGCTCCGAGTGATGTCGGTGGCGAAAAAAGCGCTACGGCTGCCTTGCTAAGTTCAGGGGCTCTCTCTGTGGTAGATTCACATATCCCTGGATTTACAGAACCTCTCACGGACAAGTGAGACCGCCGCTCGGCAAGCACACTTGATCCCTTTTCTATCTCAAATGTCACAAACCCATCGTGACGCCGGAAAATAGGCTCAGCGCTCTGATGTTTAACCAGCAGGTTATTTGAAGGGTCAGGATATACATACTTATGGTAATTCCTCTGTGTTTTACCACTCAGTCTTTAATTTCCATCCGCTGCTCTTGACTTTTAGTCAGTTTCTCTTTCTGTCTTTCCCGTCTGTCATTCTGAAGATTGCCATATTCGCTGAATCCCTCTTCCCCCCTCCCTCTTTGTTTACATATCTGGACCATCTGCTTTGTGTCATGCTGTTCTCCTGACCCCCGAGGGATCTAGGGGAAACAGCGAGACCACATCATAAGCCAAGTTTCCATCCTGCTGTCAAGTGAATTTTAGGCAAACTTTTGAAAAGTCACAAAGAATAAAATGTGAATTAAGCGCCTTTCATTCATCTTGGCTGAATGAATAAGTAGGCAGTAAAAACACAACCACCAGACAAGAAGTGTTTGAAGAACCGATCAGTCATGGGCAAACTGCTGTTGTTGTTCTTTAGTGTCGGCTAATGTCGGCCATATTTCATGCTGTCTGAATATGAAAACAAGAAATGCCCTTGGCAATATTCTACCCACAACGGTGCCTCTTATGCATGGAGAGAGCAGGTTTAACATTTCAGGGAGGGCTGTGGTGGACAAATATTTTGAGACCCCTCAGAAAATCCACATCCTCTTCTGAGCTTTGCAGCCAGACTGAGAAAATGATTTCTGTTGCAGCTGAATGTAAACATCCTGGATCAACAAAACCTTTTCTTTCTTTTTTTTTTATGCTTCAAGTGACAACGTTTTGTTTTTCTCCACTCAGCCTTTTTCTAACACAGTGTGTCAATTTCCACAAAAATACTTGACTGCAGTTGAGTTTGGTGTCAGTGTCTTCACATGTACTCCAATTCAAACAAAACGAAACACAATGCAACATTAAACTTTATGGATGACCCATCATGCCATCAAGTTTGGAACAGTAGTGATATTATAAATATTAAACCACTCAAATTACAGGAACAAAAGAAAATCATACTCCCTGGAGGTCACGAATGTAGGGGGCCGTGCTATAAACACTGAAAAATAAATAGTAAGAAAAAATTTAAACCACATAAGCCAAAAGAATATATATTCTTAACTCTTAGAAAAATACATTTTAATTTCAGTTTGACTTTCTAACAAGAAGAAACACATTAGTGCAGCCTGTGCAAACGCAAAGAGATACTATGCAGCCTACCTGGATGTTCTCTCTGGATACTGTCTGAATACTGAGAGTTTGAACAAATACTGATGATGTCAACAGACAGTCCCTCTTCAAATACCACAGTCAAAGTGAGAAAAGGGACTCAATTTTACTGAGATCTTGTTGAAACTGTGGCAAGATGGTGGCTAATCACCAGAGAAAGACAGAAGTGAGGACGCCTGATTCATAATGTTCAGATTACAATATTGTCCATGAGAAACTTGCAGTGCTCCTCTGAGATAAATCCTTTTTCATGAGTATCACTGGTGAATGAGAGGCATGTGAGAACTGTCCTGTTGATCTGCTGCAACAGCCTCAGAGAGCGGGAGAGAGAGAGAGAGAGAGAGAAGGCAGATGGATAGAAGATGAAGAGGAGGCAAACATGAAAAAAACCTCTTTTCCCTCTCTCTCAGAAGCACCCATCCCCACTCTCAGCCAATTAGCAGTAATTAAAATGGCCTCTTTGGCCTCAGAGATAATTAATAGCCTGTATGTGCCTCCAGTTTTTCTTTCTCAATGTTTTTTTGTGCAAATGCAAATGCAAATGTAATTAAACTTCATAAACAGGCGACTGATTAAGTGCAAATATTTGCCCTCTTAAAGCGGGCGGAGCATGAAATGATTATAATTGAATCAAATGCTGTTTTCCTTCTCACTGTTTACAGAGATCGAAGCCAAGGAGGCCTGTGATTGGCTGCGAGCGGCCGGCTTCCCTCAGTATGTGCAATTATTCAAAGGTAAATATGAGGCAGTTAATGTAATCCTGTGCCACACGCAGCCCGCCATCAGCTCCGAGACGAGACGCAGTAAGTACAGACCGTGTCTCAAGCGGTTTCTTATTGTGTCATTCGTCTTTGTTTGTGTGTCAGACTGCAGGTTCCCTGTTGACATCGAGTGGGCGAAGCGCGATCACTACTTCCTGGATAAGGATGCTCTTGATTCGCTCTGCAGGTAACAAGTGCATGCAACTAACTTATCGTTATTTATTTATTTATTTATTATCATAACCATGACAACCGAGGTCCAGTACGCCTGCCGCCAGAGGGGGGCGCTATTTCAAGAGACATGGGTCGATTCAGAGGGTTGAACAGAACGACCTGTGCGGTCGTTCAGGTTGGAGGAGTGGTTGGTGGTTACAGGTGCAACAGAGCGCTCATTTGACCACACAGTCACTTTACTACAACCACGGTCTCACGTGCTGCTCTTGCTTCACTTTAATCCTGCTGGTCCAGGGATCAAACTGGCCTCCACGTAGGAAATGCCATATTGTGATGATAGATGATGAGAGTATACGGTACCGCTGTATATTCTGCCGGTAAATGGTGCATTTAACAGGTCCCTATCATTGTATGACATAACCACCACGTTCCTCTCCTCTTCCTCTTACAGGAGATTAAGCACTTTAAACAAATGCGTGGAAATGAGGCTGGAACCGCGAAGATCAAAACGCAGGGTGAGTGTTGAGAGCGAACGCAGCAGGACTCTCATATCGAAGCAGCTGAAGCGGCGGAGGGCATCACACCATGAAATCTGCTCGTTAAGCATCACTTGATTTTGACTGATATCAACTGACAGCTCCTCCTCCTCCTCCTCCTCCTCAGTGGAGTCTCTTTCTAGGAGGAAGTAAAGATCTGAAAAGAAAGTAAAAGGAAAAGAGGACATGAAAAGCTGAACGAATTATCTTTGAGACACATGGATCTTAAAAGCCTTGAGGTTTATATCATTATAATATAAATTAAACTGTAATTTATCTCATAATTAATTTAATATTTCTGTGATATTTTTTTCTATTATGTGAATAATATAAATACGTATTTTATAATCAAGTTACACAATTAACCTAGAAACACACAAAAAAAAGCCCAAAATTCACCTGTAGCAGCTTCTCAATTGTGAATATTTAATAGTTTTCATATATTCTGTGACAGTAAACTCAACACCTTTGGTCAGACTGAACAAGACTTTAGAATATGTTCACTTGGGCATTTCTGGGCATTTTCCACTATTTTCTGGTATTTTATTCACTGAATAATCAAATCAATTATTAAAGAAAGTAACTGTCAGACGTATTGATAATACAACAATAACAATTCTCCTGTGACGGATTAAGTCAAACAGTTTTGCTTAATCCACGTTAAATAATTATTTTATAGTCAAAACAATCCAACTACATTTTAAATTCGAAATATAAAGTTAGCCCACTTCACAACACTTGCTTGCATAAATATTTGTATAAATTATTGAAAACATCTTGGTGTGTTTGTGTACATTTCAGACCTCTGTTTGTTTGTTTGCGTCTCTTCTTCTGTTTGCAGACTGTGTGCATGTCCCTCCTCTGCATATATTAGTGGTGTTGCAGTGTGTCTGTATAATATGCAGATATTTGTGAGTCTTTGTCTTGTCCTCCTTCTTCCAGGGAGACGACTGTGACGAGGAGGACTTGTGCGCCATCAGCCCCAACTGGACCTATGACAGGCGGACGCGACGATGGCGACGCCTCAACGTGGACGTGCTTCGCTTGACTGACAGCCTCGGCGGAGCCCAGGATGTGTCTCTGTGTGACGTCAGCGACCGCCATGATTTCTGCTCCATCCACAGCTCCAGCAGCACTGACAGCGAAGGCCACGACGGACACCACAAGAGCCACAGGGAACCTGCTGCCATCACGGCCTCTTCTGCCGCCGCTACTGCTAGCACCACGGACGACCAGGAGACCAGCAGGAGCTCCTCCCGCTGCTCCTCCACGAATAAAACCCCCTCCCTGGACACCTCATTCAGTGGACCCCCTTCCCCCGGGGAAAGTGGTGGAGGATCATCCACCATGAGTCTGGAAACCGAAGGCTGCTTCCCAGACAAACCGCCCAGGAAGAAGTGCACCAGTCTGCTGAGGAAGATGGAGAAGCTGAGGCTGAGGGGGACGACGGGACTGCTCCCCTCCGGACACAGCAGTGGAAGCAGCAGCGGCAGTCGGGCCCGGCATGTTATAAGCGGGCCGGTTCTGATCCAGGAGGAGGAGAGGATGGAGAGGCTGCACTGCCCATCAAGGTGAGGGTTGTGGATTGTGGTCTTTCAAAAACACCAGAAGGTTCTATCACAACATCTCCTACTCTCTGTCTCCAGTCTGCAGGGTCGACCCGACAGACGGGCGTCCTCCTCGCCCTCGTCCCCTCACACCATCAGCAGCAGCAGCAGCAACAGCCACTCAGAGAGCAGCAGCACCGTCAGCACGCCCAGCCCGGTCACCCGGGTCAGGAGCAACTGCAAACGCTCCAACAGCGGCGTCGGGGTCGGAACGACCCGGAACAACCAGAACCACGCGGGAACAGAGGTCAGTCCAGAAGGTCGAGGCCTTCAGAGAAAAAAAGGGAACATAGATAAGAATGAATTCACCAAAACTTGCAATGGAAACCCTGCTACTGTCTCCCTGCTTGTGTTTCTGGCCCCAGCAGGCTTTGTTGTACAGTACTGTGTTATAATAACTTGTAGAAATGATGATGAAATGATGGTTGAACACACATGTTCAAGATCACTGATGTGAATAAGGACAAGAACCAAGCAAGTCTTCTGCTTGTTAACTCAGAGCTACAGTATTCACATGATTCAGGGTTTTAAGGGTCGTAATAGAAAAAGAACATTTAACCACAGTGTTCAACAAGGACATTCATTTTTTTTTTTTTTAAAGGCCACTGTGGCTGCACACCATTCATTTCTCCACCGAGGACAAGTTCTACTCACATTTTCCATTGAATAGAAACAGACTGTGACCAATTTCGAACCCATTCAGGCTGCTTATATGTAACACTAAGTGGTCTATATGGTACTGGGTAATTTCAAATATCACTATTTTGATATTTTGAATGATATGTTAAAGTTTAGTGAGTAGTGTCTCCTTCTCTTTATTCACTCAGGACTACAGAAACCAGATCAACAACAACAACAACAGCAGTAGCAGCCACGAGAGTCTGGTCTTCCACATCCCCCACGGACACAAACCGGGCACCTTCCCCACCTCCCTCGCGCACAAACACGCCATCTTGTCCCCCATCATTGACGACACCTCCGTCAACTGGAGGACCGGCAGCTTTCACGGCTACCGGGGGCGAAACAGTTGCCGCCGTGGTACATCGTCGCTGGCCACTGGCGGCCAGGACCCCTCGTCTTCGTCTTGCTGCGGCGGTGGCGCCGCAGTCCCCAGCCCGCTGGCTGTGGTGGATCATCGGGCGAGCATCTACGACAACGTGCCCGACCACCAGCAGCTGCCTGAAGGTGTAGGTGGCTGCGGAGGAAGTGGCAGCGACGCTGAACGGACGGGTGAGGAGTCCGAGGTGGGTCAAAGGCCTGATACTGCACTTACATTTATTTGTTTATTTTTACATTTTATAATATGAATTGATCACTTATTTGAAATTTGATTTACATTCTTTTCAGGGGTGAATAAGGTTTCTAATTTTCTAATTCTAACATTTGTCTTACACTTTCTTAAGATTTTACTCATTATTCATAGCATAAATTAATAATTGATTAGTAAAGTACTAATTTATTCATTTCATTCATTTAATCATGAGCTGGTAAAAGAGACAACTTCTGGATGACTAATATCATAATCCTGTACACTAGAATAACAATAACAGTGAAATACTTAGTACTTGCTTTTTTAATTTTCATTATTTTATTTGACATGTTCAATGCTCATTGATAAATAAACATACAAACAAACAAACAAACAAACTGCAAATGTGTCAAGCTACATCCACATTTTCACCACTGTTTTAGTTTTAAAACGAGCGCCTAAAATGGAGACATACAGAAACGCTGCTGACCGTTTTTGTTGTTTTCGTTTGAAAACTCTGGGACAGGCAGACGCTGATGATGACGTAGACACCCACGGTCGCTTCCTGATTGGATGTTACCTGCCTCAACTAGCAGTAGTGAAAGCAACATGAATAACAAATTACAAGCGTTACTGTTATCTTGTTGTCTTTGCTCGCACCTGTTGCTCAGTTAAAGTCGCCATTTTATCGCTACGACTGTCTTTGCTGTTCCTCGTTCATAGTATTGTGTGCGACCAATCAAATGCAGGGTAGATAATCTGCTTCCTGTTTACACCGGCTCGCGCATGCTCAGTGTACGTGAATGGTCACGTATGTATGTGTTTACAGTATGGGCGGGGATCTTTTGTGGTACAGAGCTAAAACACTCGTCTAGACGCAGATCGTTTTCGTTTTAAAGCGCCATTTTGAAATGAAAACGTTTTAGTGTGGACGGTGCCAAATGTTCATTTTTGGTTCCTGACCAGATGTTAAAAATTTACCCTGAAACAGAACAAAACTACTTGTCTCTAAAAGTTAGTTTAGACAAAGAAGCACTATAATATCCTACACAAGACAGTACGATACACTTCACATGCACCAAAAAACAACAGTAAAACACATTTACTTTTTTGGTGTCAGACGCAGATTCACAGCTGCAACATCTAGTGTGTGTGTGTGTGTGTGTCTCTGTGTGTGATATTTCATATAAAAGCACAAGAAATTTGAGATAAAACTTCTGGGACCATCACTAAGTGTATTTAGACTGCAGAGGTCTGTTTGTAGTAAATGATCACTTGGTGAAGTTATTATCATTGTTAGGGATCAACATGTGCAATATATTATGGTTATTTTGTGTAATGAGGCAGTAAAATACTGACATCTGTCCTCTTTCGTTAAAAGTTTTACACTGTGCTTCACTAATCAAATACAGATTCATCCATCAAACAAATCATAAATAAGACACAAGCAGCAGCCTCTCTCTCTCTTTCTCTCTCTCTCTCTCCCCCCTTCTCTCTTTGACTCACCTTCTTTTCTACTAAAAAAAAGATTAAAATCCCCTGAAAAATATCAATAAATCTATAAAAAGCAACGGTAATTCAATCGACATTATTGATTTTGCTAAGCTAAGCTCCATATGGAGTTGGAGTGTCCCCATAAAGCCAGAAATCATTTTGTGAGTGCTCATATCAAATTTCATTTTCGATTGAAACTATACAGTCGTCTTTGACAACTCATATAAATCACTTTGATTCAGACACTTTCTTTTTTCTAGGAGTCATTTGGAATAAAGCTGGCAGCCTCTTTGACAAAAAGATGGCGGCCATGGGAGTAAAAGTTTACATAAAATATTATTAGGAAATGGCTTTTAAGGAAGCAGTTATATCTACGTCTGAACTTTAGCTCCTCCAAAACTGAGGTAAAGCAACAGAACCTTTAACCTTTACTTTGCAAAAAAAAAAGTACTGAATCAGTCATTGGAGAGAAAGTTAAAAAATACATAATGTAAAAAAGCTTAGTTAGTAATGTCTTTAAATCTTCTTTTTTTTAAAAGTTAAATCAAAACACATAAAACTGTGCCTGAAAAGTTTGTAGTCTGACTTCTTTGTGATGAGAAATTTTGTTGTAATTCACGTGTGATTTTGTCCACACAGGTGAGTCGGCTGTTGGCAGACGAGGACGTTTTCTCAGCTCTGGACAGCGTGCTGGAGAGGATCAGCGACCTCCAGCAGCTGGTCTCCACCTGGTCCGAGAACCTGTCCGAGGATGACTGTCAGAGAGGTTCCTCCTCCTCGTCTTCCTCCTCTTCCACCCAGGACTCACCTGCCACCTGCTCCTCGGCAGCCTCCCCCTGCCCGTCCTCGCCCAGCCACATCCACCTGGAGGTGCAGGAGGTGGAAGAAGGGGGGGAGGAGGAAGAGGAGGAGGAGAGCTGTGAGAAGATGCCAGTGAACGGAGAAGAGCCAAAGTCGCCACAGCCCAGGAGCAGGTGAGAGAGCTTATGAGTGTAATGCAAGAAACAACAACTGAACACTAAAACATTTCATATTTCACATAAATAAAACTGAAAGTGCTTCACAAGTGTCTGTAAAAAATAATTCAAGGTTATGAAAAAAATAACTCAAAATCAGGTCTAGGAAATAGAAGCAATTTCCTGGATACTTAAAGTCGCCCTGGACATTTGTAAGCGTAAGCAGGACACTAATAATGACAGTTAAGGGGCTTTTATTCCCTCAGGCATGAACCAAAGTAAGACTGGTGAAGTTATTGCGACGCACTTAAGATAAAATGTTGTATAGTTTTAATTGCTTTTTTTTATAGTGCTGCTTTTATAACTGTTAGTTGTTGCACATTTGTTCTCAGATATGAGCAATAAAAAGTTATGAAGCGTCTCCTATAATGTAAAGGCAGTCACATCATCATTGTATTCTGATGGACGCTGCTTGTTTTCTAATTTTTTTCTCTGTGTGTGTTGTACTGACTTAGTACACTATTATGTGTGTCTTTATATGTATTGTTTCCACATGTTGCATCTATGGATCTACTTTTTAACCACACTAGCATTGGCTCGAAAGACAGGAATCCCTGTCGCTCCAGCACTTTGTTTAACCTTTGTTTATCGGATGAATTAAAATTTATTAAATACAGATGTTCCTTAGAGGATGAATCTTAATGACAACATAGATCTGAAGCAAAAAAGCATATGCAAACATTAGCATGGGAATCTGTGATCATGTTAGCATGCTTACATGGTAAATGCTTTATGTTCATCATCAGAATATTGGTATCCAATAGTTGTTAACATGATATCTGCAAGCATGTTAGCATGCCAAAGGTAGCACAGCATTCTATATTTGGCTCTGTTTGGAACTGAATACGGCATTTGCATGCCAATACGCTAATTTTAGCATTTAGCCCAGCTGCCGCCAGATGCCAATGTAGCGTCAGGAAGATGTTGGACTTTAGCGGCTCTAACGTTGGACAGATGTTAAAATTTTGATTGGAAATGAAAATCGGGTTGATGTCAGAACCCAATGTTGTCAAACTGACATTGTGACGTTTTGCTCACAACTATCATGTCAGCATTTTATATGTCAAGATGGTGTTAGCATAAATCATTTGGAAGACCTTGCATTTTGGTTCCTTAACAATACAACTTAAAACCAACAAAATATCAACGTCAGCTATTATCAGTCTGATGAAGCCTGACGTTGTCCTGAAAGGGAATTGAATTTTGCAAACATTATCACTGTTGATCGATAACACTTTAGATTTTGGCAGTAATGTGACTTTCCTCTGGAGCCACCTTCAGGACAAACTCTACATATTTTGACCGACTAGTGCTATAAATCTTTCACTTACTTGTTTATATACTCAACAGTTTTACCTCCCCATGTGTAAAGTGTATTACAGACTTGGAGGGCTGCTGTGATTCAGCACTTTAATCTCTTTTATGCAAATGGATCTGTTTTATTAAACCATCTAAACAGATCAAAACATGTTGTCACATACAGTTTGCCGTCTTTTGATTGGTCTTTTTGAACAAATTCAAAGGCTCTGCTGCCCGAATTAATGAGGCAACAACCATCATTTGAATTTAATAAAATTTTCTGTATTTAGATCTAAGTACAAACACTTATTTTCAGCAGCTCTGGGAGCTAACTGGTTCCTGTTGGTCTCCCCTTGTTTGTGATACGTTAAAGACTGTGCATGTCTCTGTGTGTTCAGCAGAGTGAGCCAGCAGCTGCACTGGTCCAGCGAGCAGAGCCTGCCCTCTCTGCCCACCAGTCCAGGGGTGGAGAACCAGTCTGTCTCCCAGTTCCTGCTTCTGCAGAAACTCTCCCTGCTGAAGCTCACCGCTCTGATGGACAAATACTCCCCGTCCAGCAAGCAGGGCTGGAACTGGTAAGAAGTGGGGGGGGGGACAGAGAAGGCTCTGGGAGTATTTTTGGGTGATTTCATGCTTGAAAATAAAAGCCAGGGTTCAACAGAGGTTGAGGACAGAGTGAGCGGAGGTGTGGAGAGGGGAGAAACAAAACTCAGTGAAAACAACACTGTTCTCAGATTCTTCTCTCCTGCACACCTGAGTAGAGAAACTTCTTCAAGAAAACAACTGTGGAAAGGAGGGCAGGTGGGCGGGCAGGGGGGTAAATATTTCAGGCAGCCTATTTAGAAAATTCATTCATTATTCATGGCTCAGGTGCAACCTTGCCTCGGCTTAAAAAAAAAGAGTAGCAACACGTTTCAAGAGGAATAAACTTCCCTCCAAAAAAAAAACCCAGGGAGGACTGCTGATGCCTCTATCCTCAGAAGACCTCACTGTGTCTCTGTCCTCCCTCTCAAGCTCTGCACCGTATTTACATTCCCTTTTCACTCACTCAACAAACACTGCATGGATTTCAATGTGCAGAAGGTGGTCAACGGTACATTCAGAAACTGTTTTGAATTCAAGTCCCCACGTCATAAAATCTGGCACACTCACACTGAGCAGGTGCGGAGCGATTCATTTAAATTCTGAATCTTTCTCTAAGTTCAGCTCAGGTGAGAAAAATACCTGCTGAACCCCATGAATCAACGACGCTAAGGTGGTGATGAGGTGTCTGTCTTCTTGTAGGAGAAGACACGGTGCAGTTTGTTAGGGCTAAAAATGGGATCACAGTAAACAACCTCACAATGCAAAGGTGTCTAGAATTAAGACTGGAACAAAATAAAACCCTTTCCACACACTACTTTTTTTTTTAAAGTTATAGATTAGTTTTTATTGTTATCTTTATCAAAATAACTGACAACAAACACAAACGGTTCATCCCTCCATTTACAAAAAATTTCAATTCATTTACAACAGTGCCACTGCAGCCTTTCTGCTCATATAATCTTCCAAACCCATGAATCAAAAGAAACTTTACGTACTGCTCATTATTTTCAATTTCTCTTCGTCTTTTTTAAACAAGTCTCAGATGTTAGTTGATTTTTGGAGAGCGGTAGAAAAATGTACGTGTTGACTTCATAGTATAGTAAGGCAAAAAATGTCATAAAAACGTCATACTATGATAAGGCACAAAAAGTTGTGACGTTTTTATGACATTTTTTGCCATACTATACTATGACGTTTTTATGACTTTTTTTGCCATACTATACTATGACATTTTTATGACATTTTTTGCCTTACTATTCTATGACGTCTTGATGACTTTGTGTGCCTTACTATACTATGACGTTTTTATGATATTTTTTACCTTACTATACTATGATGTTTTTATGACATTTTTACGATACTATACTATGATGCTTCATGACATTTTGTGCCTTACTATACTATGACGTTTTTATGACATTTTATGTCATACTATACAATAATGTTTTTATGCCTTACTATACTATGACATTTTTGACATTTTTTGCCTTACTATACTATAATGTTTTTATGACATTTTTTGCCTTACTATACTATGATGTTGTTATGACTTTTTGTGTCGATGACATTTATTAAATTTTTTGCCTTACTATACTACGATGTTTTTATGAAATTTTTTACCTTACTATACTGTGACGTTTTATGACATTTTGTGCCTTACTATACTATGACATTTTGTTGCCATACTATACTATGACGTTTTTATGACATTTTTTGCCTTACTATACTATGATGTTGTTATGACTTTTTGTGTCGCTGACATTTATTAAATTTTTTGCCTTACTATACTCCGATGTTTTTATGAAATTTTTTACCTTACTATACTGTGACGTTTTATGACATTTTGTGCCTTACTATACTATGACATTTTGTTGCCATACTATACTATGACGTTTTTATGACATTTTTTGCCTTACTATACTATGACGTTTTATGACTTTTTGTGCCTTAACATACTATGATGGTTTTATGACATTTTTTTACTTCTTTTACGATGATGTTTTTATGCCTATGACATTTTATGACATTTTGTGCCTTACTATACTATGACATTTTTATGACATTTTTTGCCTTACTATACTATGACGTTTTATGACTTTTTGTGCCTTAACATACTATGATGGTTTTATGACATTTTTTTACTTCTTTTACGATGATGTTTTTATGCCTATGACATTTTATGACATTTTGTGCCTTACTATACTTTGACATTTTCTTGCCATACTATACTATGATGTTTTTATGACATTTTTTGCCTTACTATACTGTGACATTTTTTGTCTTACTATACTATGACATTTTCTTGCCATACTATACTATGATGTTTTTATGACATTTTTTGATTTACTATACTATGACTTTTTTATGACATTTTTTGCCTTACAATACTATGATGTTTTTATGACATTTTTTGCCTTACTATACTATGACTTTTTTATGACATTTTTTGCCTTACTATACTACGATGTTTTTATGACATTTTTTGCCATACTATACTATGACATTTTTATGACTTTTTTTGCCTTACTATACTATGACGTCTTGATGACTTTTTATTTCATACTATACTATGACATTTTATTACATTTTGTGCCTTACTATACTATGACGTTTTTATGACATTTTATGACTTACTATACTATGACATTTTTATGA